TAACGCACTAAACTAAAACAGTATATAAAGCTGATGTTCCCATCCGCACAATCTTGATTATGGAGCAACTGAATTGAATCGAATGGGTGTTTCTAATCACTTTGACCATTATTGTCCGGAAAGTAGTTCGAAAAAGTAGTCCAAAGTTCGTGCAGCTTGGATAAATATGACCCCAAGGGATAATTTTGTGCAACACCTTTTCGTCCGCAAATGGATGATGTCGAACTAGACGAGTTTTCAACAGGGAATTTTTACCACTATCAAATTACCATAATAGAGGTTCCCATTCGTTCCAGTTCAAAAGGATGGCCGGTAAGAAATCGAAGTGAAATGTTGATTGGCTGTCTGCTACAATGAGTGTACGTAAAGTTTGATATCGTTGGAAGCTTACTTTTGAGTCGCAACAAGTTATTCTTAGTGTTGTAAGTCTGGTTGCAACGTCTTTTTTTATTTTGGTGAATGTCTCTAATGAGAGAGTACCCAAGTTAAAAACGGAAGAAAAACATTAAAATAAGTTATGTATCTTATTTTAAGTAGTTTTGTGTGATTTCAAAAAATTTCATGTCCTCTTTTCCGTTGCGGGGAAAATATATTTTGATGCACTTGCGACAATGGGATAACGATACCTGTTAAAGTCCCCTCAAGGACAATTTCTTAATGGAGATTTATTCTTTCTGAACAACGATGAGAATAAATTGAAGGAAATAGAACAATAAGATAGCCGGGAGAAATAAATTAATGAACGTTTCGCGTGCTACCTTGTACTTAGGACAGATAATTTGTGATAAGTGTGGGCGTGTTGCGAGGACGTTTACTCATCAGCCTTCTTGATATATTTATTTCATCTGGATGACGAGGACGAATGGCCTGCTGCTGCTAGTACGAGGGCAGTCCCTGAGCTACTTTCATAAGCGTAGATTTTCCTAAAATATCTCATGATAAGATGTTTCTAATAGAGGAAGGCTGATTTTGATGTAAATGGGGACTCAAGTAGACATAAAATGATGACATGGTTAAATGTTGTCGTTTTTGCTTCAGCATGTAGGAATCGCTCCAATGCAAGGGTGCACGTAGAATGCATCTTGAGAGTAATTACGCTCAATCTTGCTAAGGCATTTTCGTAGGAACAGTCATAGAAAGTTCGCAATGACATATCTTGAAAAGTTAAAGCAAAAGACGTATATCTTTTTCACAGTTTNCCTGCGCGCCATAGTCGTGTAGCACGGCAGGGCTTGCCGAACTCAATTGCTTGCCGGACTTAATTAAAAAGTTAAATTCAGACGCCTTGCTTTTCTCGAACTTATTTTCTGAGTTAAGGTTGACATCGCAGGAGCACGACACCTGAACTTGGCCTTAGGTATACAGCAAAAAATCCGTGTAAATTTGTAAATAGCTTTGGTCATCCGTCACACTCGCACAGTTTTGATGAAGCAACCTAATAGATTTGTATTTATGCCTGATTAAAAGCATTGTGAGCGTTTTCAGTTATGCTCTCTAGTAATGTTTGAAAAGATTTAGAATTCTCTGTGAATTCCAACAGTGTGAAGATGAATATCCCTTGAGCGACAGTGTCAACAGGCAACTTCTAGTCTGCATCAAGAAGATAACAGTTCGATACTTATCCAAAGTGAATATTATCAACGAGGCATTGTACACGAGGTGTGGTGCGCCGAAATGCTAAATAAAGCTGTTAAACTAGTCAGAGTGATATGCATGTCAAATTATTTTCTTAAAGATAATGTTTAAAGCTTTCGTTCAAGCCGTAACAAATTAATTTTAAAGTGGAATTTCTGTTGACTTCTTCTGAAAGGCGGGCTCATACTTAGGTAACAAAAAATTACTTTAAGGCGTGAGCTAGGAGCAAATACTTGGATGTAAATCACTCTACAAAAGCGATGTCTCTGATCGTGCTCATTATGTAACTCTTGGCTCAGACTATTTTCCTTCTTTTACAGATATGAGTTTCGTTTCACTTGAAACACTGCGTTACTTGCATTCATCGCACCCACGTTCAATGCACTTTTTTCAGTTTTTGAATTATAACCTCGAAAAAAGATTTCAATATCAAAAATGCAAATACGGTCATCGCAGGTTTAAGCCACCTCACTCCAATCATCTAGTTTTAAGACGAATGTCATATACACTGATTTGAAAGGAAAACTTTACCGCAATTGCCAATAATGTCGCAATCTGATTGGCCGATTTGCCGTTGTCATTAAGAGTACAGACGACTCTTCTCGCGTTAACGTGTCACGCAACGAGTCACGTACTGAAGGAATCGTTTTCTTTGACGTCGATATTTGGTAAAAGACAAATCGGTAGTGGTGTAGCGGGGTCTGTAACCTTATAAACAACGGAAACAACGGTATTCGTCATCACAGCGGTGAAAATTTGTTACATCACTGCGAATGGAACCGGGGAAAGGCAGGCAACGGCCCGATATTTTGGGCAGTTAAGGAGGTATTCTTGCCAAGACGGCGATTTTGATAGCTTTTTCCCAAGCTAAGTTACGTTAAAATATAGATTACTTCATGATACCAAGATCATTGGCCGAACAGAGGTAACTTCAATGCTTATTTAATTAAGAGCTTTCCCCTTCTTTGTATCAAGCGATAGCTCATTTCAGTTAGATCGTAGAAAACGAATAACGGATGACTAATAGCGTATTGATTTTGTTTTAGGCTCTCAGTTAAGGAAAGGTAGCTTTTTGTCAACGTATGACCTAGTTTTTATCGCAACTAAAATGCAAAGGAAGTTGTCGCAGAGAGCATTAGTGTGCACGAAAAACAATCAATAAAAGATAATGACTCCATCTCCGGATTTACTAAATGACTTCAAGCTCGTTTTGACCCGATAGGGTAATTTTTTTGCATTTGTCTGCTCGGATAATATATAGTTGCTGTGGTAACCTAATGAACCATAAACTGAGATTAGCCGCATCACGTCTAGTTGCACTGATGCATTAAATCCTTGACCCTTAAGAGTGACTAGCAGCTAATTTGTCCTTACAATATCGCCCCTGAATCACACATGAAGGTCATGAGTGTAAAGGAAATAATCACCAATAAAAGAAAGCTCCCGATTGTTAGACAAATTCTCCTTGTCCGCACCCAAGGAAATGTAAAAAGAACAGTGCGGAGAATATGCATGCAGATGTTAGGGTGTAAAGAGTTAAAGTGAAACCGTTTGTAACACTGATGTTCGCATCCGCACAATCTTCAAGTTGATTATAGAGCATGGTGAATTGTATCCAGTGCGCCTCTCTGATCATTTTGACTTTTATTGCAACATCACTGCGCATGGAATCGGGCAAAGGTACGCAACGGTGCCATATTTTAGGCAGTTAAGGAGGTATTCTTGCCAAGATGGCGATTTTGAAAAATCGCCACTTGAAAAATCGATATCGCACTCATCGCTTCGCGATTTGTGCGATATCGGTTTTTCACGTGAAATTTAGCGTGGAGTTCACTCGTCAGGCAGTGAATTTTTTTTTATTATTGCAACATCACTGCGCATGGAATCGGGCAAAGGTACCGGCAACGGCGCCATATTTTGGGCAGTTAAGGAGGTATTCTTGCCAAGATGGCGATTTTGGGCGCTAGAAAAAAAAAAGGCATAGCAGAGCAGCGAAAACGAGAGGAGGAGCTTGAAGGCGTGAAACTGTCTAACTGAATTTTACGGGTTTTAGTTTTATCCGTTGAGTTATTCAATTTTTCATTGATCGTTTTTATTTAACAGGAGTTTAGAATTTTTTGCCGTTTTCTGGAGAAAAACGTGTTCAATGCGTCTGCTTTCGCTTTTAGATAAGATGAAGCCGGCTATTTTAATCACCGTTCTTATTTTGGCTGCAATAACAGCTATATCAGCAACCTCCTCCTCAGGCTGGGGGTGGAATGATAAGCGGCGTCCCATGCACGAGCTTAGCAAGGTAAGTATCATGTTCTCGGTGTTGAATACATTTTCGGTTGTATTTGATACTGAGGATCCGTTTCGCAGATTTTTATCTCTTTTAAAATTTATTTCATTGTTTTCTGTAGGAGAAGTTCAGAAACAAACTCATGGATTACATTATGAATCATGAGGTAACAAAATAACTAGCTTATTACTGGTCAGTGATAGAAATAAGACCTATAGCCTGCGGGGGGGAGGGGGGAATTTTTGGTTTGTGTGCTTGCAACTGCCGGCTTTTCTTCATTCTGCGTTTATTTTTATTTAAACCAAAACAAGGGGGGAAGCGGGCCCCCCGTGCCCCTCCACTAGATCCGCCACTGGAAATGAATGGCGGGATACTTTAAATCATTTTCACGAAAAATTTTGCAAGATTGCACTCTTTCTATGTTTCTCTCTCTCTCTATACAGAAAAGATGCAAGCATGATCATTGCAGCCCTGGTGATAGCTGCTGTGGTGGAAGATGGTAAATATACTTGAATTTTGCTTTTTCCTTTACGCGCTGTACTTACGCTTTTGCTCCCCATCAGATTTAGTTATGAATAGGACGTGAAACATGTATGTTGGCAAATCGGTACTTTCCTTCTCCCGAAAAAGGATTACTTAGATTAACTAATTGTCTCTTTATTTTTATTATTATTATTTTTTTCATTTATTTGCTTATTTATTCATTCATTCATCTTTTGCTGTTTTT